TCCCACGAAGGAAGTATTATATACTTATAAATTAATGTAAATTTCTTTTTTTTGTAATGAAGTTTTAACAATTAAACAATTGTGCGAATACTTATTGCTTCGATATTTCTATCGATTAATTGTATTTTTCTTGTTAATTTCGCAACTTAGAGAAATAGCTATTCTCTTTTTGTACTGAATCTATTCTAGAGATTTCCGAGAATATGTAGAACGTCATTGTTTATAAAAGATAAGTTATCGGTGTACGAATACTTTCTACATCCACTGTATATACTAGCAAGGTATGAGAAATTTATTATTTTGTGTCATTCTAAAAACAGACAGAACTTTCCGGTAGACCTAACACCACCTATTCTCTATACTCCATCTGTATTAATCAACGCTACACAAACTTGAATAAGTGATGCTTGACAATTCTCACCTTCCACGCGAGAAGCTTCTAACTTATTGTTAGCGCCATAAGCGACAGTTTAGGCTCTACAGGCGATGAATTTCGCGGAATCGGTTTTCAGTGGATTCTCCGTTCATCTCTTTTTAATGCCATGCCCCGTGGTCTATATTAGTCGACGCTAAACAGAACTTCAATAAGCCAAGCTCGAGGAGTCTCAAGTCTCAAACCTTTCACACGGAAAGCTTCTAACTTTGGACGAAAGTGTGGTCTTAAGTGACAGTTAGATACCACCGGCAACGAGTTTCACGGAATCGGTTTGCAGCGGTCTTCCAGCAAGCGTTACACTGTTATTTCGTGCTCCACGACGACTGATTTACAACGAAATTGCACCGTTTTACCTTCGAAAGGGTGAGACGATAGAATGTCAGCCTAAACAGTACGTGAACTTCCTGTTCTCTCCAGAGTCTCACGATCGCGAGAGTAAATACTGCGATCGCGATGGATCTTTCGCGCGTTTCAGAGGTTGAAAAATGGATCGTGTTTCTTGATACTCTTGTTGCTCAAGGTTTCTGGAATGTTTATATCCGAATTATATTGAAAAAGTGGCGAAATGATCCAAGTTGTAACCGTTTATGTCTCAGGGCGCAGTGAACACAAAACTTTAAGGGGGTACTTTTTTTATTTTAAGATGGAAAGATAAGAGATAGAGCAGGAGTGTTGAACATTTTAGATAATCTTGTGTACGTATGTACAAATGAAGGTACCAAATTTTAAAAGTTTATGTAAAGTACGGTTCCTGCAAAAAATTCACGAAGACAGCTTCGACATTGGCCGTAAATGCCCCCTTAAAAGACCATCCTTGAAAATTTGGTTATAAAAACAAATTAGCATCGATATTAACAAAAACCACGAAACATTACGAACGCTGAAGAATAAATATGATACTTATTGGGGCTCGGGTTCGTCGTTAAAATATCGTTAGTTCGTGTTTATAATCAACGTACACGCATTATACCAGTTACATAATTTTATATGCATTTCCAATTGTTCATATATACAACGTTACATTGTACTTACATAACATCACATCGTTCGCTATAATCGATAATTGCTATTGGTCTTAACCTAACGCGTGCCTAATTAATACGACTTGTACGGTTCTATTCGATGACGACGACGAATCTTAATGGTAGCGAATACACATACAGTACTTTATTTTCGCGATAATAGTTTCTTAATTAGATTCTCGTGTAAGGTAATATTTACAAGATGTGTACGCGTGTTTGTGTCTCGTGCGTGCCTAATTCTATCTGTTCAAAATTTAAACGCTCCCCTGCCTCCCCCCCCATCCCTCCCTCCCATCTCACCCAGCCACGCGAGTTCGCTCGCTGAAAGCAGTTTATATATCATACATACACTTTAATATCTTTAATTACATCTATCACGCTAATATGTACACGGATATGTCCTTATCGATCTTTCGATTATGCCGCGAATGCATCGAACGGCAGCGTTCTGCACCAACGACAAATGGGAATTGGGGATTGCTACGTGACGAATTGCTGTTGTTACAAGACGGATGTTGATGATATCTATTGATGACGTATTATTAAATTGTCAGGTGCTAGCACTTAGAAACGTGCGGGGCGCTTCGTTTGCAATTTACTTTTGTTTAGAAATAAATGAAACTCGAGGAGGACCGATACTATTGTGACCGAAATGTCGATTGATATCGCGTTGAAGTTCAAATAAAGTGTACCTTGAATTGTAGATAAAAGCGTAGATCAATTTTAGAGAATTCTAAAGAAAATGTTCATTTATTTAACAGTGCTAAATTTTATATATATATTCTAGGTATCAGATATCATAAGATTGGTATCGTTATGAAGTGCAAATGAAATGTACCTTGAATTGTAAATAAAAATGTAGATCAATTTTAGAGAATTCTAAAGAAAATGGTCATTTATACACCATATCTAACAGTGTCAAATTTTATATATATCCTAGATATCAGATACCATCAGATTAAAAGCAACTTTATGCCCCAAGAAATAATTTCTCCTTCTAAAGACGAAATAAGATTCAAGCGATAGGGTGTTCAAACAGTCTGGATTTCATTTCTCGAGTCTGCCATCGCGTTTCCTTCCCATCCCGGGGATCGTTTGGTCCAAAGTGACCTTATAGGGAACCGTGAAACGAAAACGTAATTATTTAAGTTTCCTTTTAGCTCCTCCTGTTTCATTAATTAAGTACGTCGATAAAATTGGCTGTCCTGACGTAAGACGTTGGCATTATCTAGAAATAGCGCAATTAAGATGACTCGATTGACCTCTGACGCTCTTTTTCCCTCGATTCTCCGGGATTCCTTTCCACTGTCAATAAAGTCACGTTAAGAAAAGCCATTAGGCTTCCTCCCCCTTCCTCCTACCAATTTTGGAAAATTTTCTAAATGTAGACTGATAACGCGCGATCGCCATGGTAAATTCATATCGAGGCTCGTCGCGTATTTGCCGCGAAATTATTGGAATCGCGGTTGTCGAACGCCTCGTTCCCTCGACGTCGAAACTTATGAATTTATAAATTATCACTGTCGATGGAAATAAGTTAAACGGTTTTCCGAGTTCCTGGAGATATGTTACGAATTATTTCGCTCGCTGGTTTCCACGCGAAACGGGCAAAGTGTTTCTCAAAGGATCGCGAATGCATAATAAATATGTTATAAATAAGATGTAGCGATTAATTCGCGACATTTGATTGATTCAACGTGGTAATTCGAATTTTCTATTTTATTCGTTGTTCGAGATATTTTCTGAATGCTAATTTTGCCCATTTCTGATCTCTTTTTCGAGTTGGAATGTGTAGGATTTAACGAAGAACTTGGGGAATATTTGATGGACCCTTCCATGCAATCTAAATGCGATTCGTTATCCAGTGGTGTAAAAAAACGACGTGCACACGATTTAATTGACGTTCAGAATCGGTAAAATATTTAATTCGTAGTATTGAATTGTACATCAATGTTTTTAAGTATTACCCGGCGCTGTTTTACATTGTTGGTTATCGACCGCAAGCTTGAGAACGCCTGCTTTATTGTAACGAAACGTTTTAAACTAACGTAAATAAATGAAATTTGTTTAAGGTAGGATCAAGGAGGTTAACAACAGAGTATTTAGGGGTACGTAGTTTCGTCAACGAGGATAAGATAAACACAGTGATATTGATACAGTATAATTTCGTGAATGAAAAAAATGTCTTGTTTTTAAATAAAGGATAGGAAATTCATACACGAATTTTAGATGAAAGATAGTGCCTCTCTTAGCTGACAATGTGGCGGTCTGAAATTTGCAATCGATAGCGTGTATTTGCATAGGTACTCATTATTTAACTATGAACTTTATTTGAATATACCTGAATGATTTATGACGTGGAAACTTTAACGCGGATGTCAAAGCTTATTTTACTGTGTTATGTCGCGTTCGGATCATGAAATTCGATGTCTAGAATAATTGGCAACTATTTAATACGTTATTGAAACATTGAAATCAACGAAATTTGCGAGTGCCACGACTTTCCGACAATATCACCATTTTGAAAATCTTTATAGTAAAATCTTAGTCGAGTTTAAAAAGGAATAACATATCCTATCTGCTTCGTACCTTATTATATTTACAAAGAATTTAGTTAAGAGATGTACCATAATTGAAAGCATTCGATCAAGATTTTACTGCGCGTGGAATAATTATTTCTTATTATAATTACGCACGTTAAGAAGAGGGGAAAATAAATATATAATGCATATACTTACACGTGTAAGTAAGATATCATAGAGTCCACAGCAGAGCTTCAATAAAAACGTTCTTGAAATAAACCAGCGTGCGTACAATCGATGATCACGTACGAAATTATAATATGTTAATAATTGATAAATACAGCTTTCACGTGTGGCTGCAGCAAGTGCAGGACTTGGAGTAATTATCAATTAAATTCCAGTTTCACGGAACCTCTAAAACAGATTTCTACCAGCATCGTTAAATCATGACACAACGAATCGACAGCAATATTGCCACAACTCACAAAAGAGAATAACACCTTAGCTTAAATTTACAAAGTTAGTAAAACATTATCCATCATTCTATAATATCATGCACGGACATTCACGATGCCTACAAATGAGTGGGCCTGGCCCATTAAAAAATTAACGCATCTTATTATCACTATCATGTACAATAAACTCGCATTTTACCATGTAACATCGTCTCCGTTCCACAAACGCGAACTTGTGTTTTTTTGTTTTTTCATAAATTCACTTATTTTCAATTGATTCGACCCAAAGACAGATTTTTAATACGAGTTAAAAATACAACTTCGGAAAGAGATGAATTCAGTACGACACTTTACAACCTATAGTTACTTAGACATATTACACGATCGTCCTTGTCCTCTTTGAGTGAACATTCTACTTACAATCCTCTCCTAATTGACGCTGCCAGGGCGAGACTCAAGTTTTCACTTTTTCGAGTTGCGACAGTATTACTGCCGAGTAGAAAAACGATATAATTCACCGAGTTTACTCGGTACGAGTCTTTCGATTGGGTTGAATAGCCGAGGTTCAGCAAATTGGCTCGGTTAGGGGTTGCGGTGGGCCGTACGGCGAGGCCCACTGGCCAACGGGATGGGTCAGCGATGTGGGGGGTTGCTGCCTGTCCAAACTGGTAACGGTGGTACCTGATGGATGGCTGGGCACCGTCGTCGGATAAGCTACCTTCCCGAGAGCTTCAGCTTGGAGAGACAACATCAACCGATTCGCCGCCTGCCTCTCAGCCTCCCTTTCCTCGGCTGTTTGCCTCCTGCAACAAACGAAGCTGAGGATAAACTAGCGTTCTGTAAGGAATTTTCGACCTGTAAGGTTAATTCAACTTTAGGGCAAAACGTGGAAGAGAGGCCTGTTGAATTTAAAATTCGAGAATATCGCAGGTATTATTATTCGAGGTAGTATTCATGCTAGTTATCAGCTTGTTGTCAACGTTTTGCGTATTTTGCAATCTACGTCATCTAGGTAGCTTCGATACTGATAGAGTCTTGCTAAATATTTTGAAGGATAATTTCAGGTTTGGTTTGTCTACCACGAAGGACTCCCACGCGTCGAGGAGATCTCTAAATTTGACTAAAATAAAATTCAATTTTTATTAAATTTATTACCATTTTACCTGACGCTAACACCAAAGAGTTGTTTCGATTTGTAGCATTTCTTTTCTCGATTTTGCAATTAAAAAGTCCTGTGTCTCACCACTTTTTAATCCCTATTTAGACAATTTAATCGAGGAAAATCGTTCAAAGAAATCGTCAAGGTTAAACCGAAGGGCCGATGAGACCAGTTAGGTTGAATGACAGGGAAGAGCTGGATGGCGCAGCGAGAGACCGCAGAGGAATCGACCGAGAGCAGCCAGGGGTGAAAAGCGACTGGCGGCTGTTGGGGCGGAAAACAGAAGACAAACGTAATAAAGTTAATTCGATTCGTCGACGGCGCAACGCTAGCTCGCTAAGGGGTGGTTCGAGGGTGTCTGTTTTCTAGCACTAAGTCTATTAGAGAACCACAAAATGGCCGACTTGTTGGCAACGTCGACGGTCTCCTCGGATGGGAATCTTTATCGAAAGCTTTTCTTCTCCACACTGGACACCTTTATGGGCACGCTGAATGAATTGACTGCCAACATCTAAAAGTGTCCAATCTTTCGAACGATTCAGACGTCATAGGCAATTTAATTGAAATTGTTACGTTTTAACTAAGATTTTTACGTGACTTTGCATCCGTATTTAAATGCCAATCTTAGAAAATGGCGCTGGTACGATCGAAATTGGTCAACTAGATTTTTTGTACATTTCTTAGTAACTTTAAGATTCGATGAAACAGGAAGTATTAGTCTTGCAAGCAGGGCTTGTGTTCATTGATGTGAAAATAAAGTCATTGAATGTAAGAACACGCTTGACTTCGACGAGTCATCTTTAGATAGTCTTACAGTTTCTTCACCTTCCATTTTCTAGAGAAAAAGAAGAATTGGTACTAGTATTATCTAACAAACATTCACTTGGATTAATTCTACCACCTCCAATTTCCGCCTCTGCTAACTTCTCAGAGGTCTAGGCTAATAAGTCTGATTTATCTCTACGTCGTTAGGTCATCTTTGGATAGACCTGCAATTCCTTTACCTTCATCTTCCAGAAAAAAAAATTGGTACCATTATTCTATGGAAACATTCACTTGGATAAATCCCACTACCTCCTATTGCCATCTATACTAACTTCCTAGAGGTCTGGGCTAACAATAAGTCTGCGACAAGTCTGGTTTATCTCTGAGCTCTGCAAAGTAAAAGAGTTGTCAATGTCGATCTAGTTCTTTCCCAAAGACGACAACCAAGGTTCCAAAATTGAAAAATAACAGTCTATGTTTAAGGTTCGGTAGAGAGCCGTTAATTCGTTATTTTTCCCTAGCTTATCGACAATATTTGGGCCCAGCTCAAAGTGCTCTTTGCCAACGAGATCAAACCGAAAAGTTATTCAGTCTGGTAGGCGCCAGACGGGATAACGCGGCCAATCAGCGAGCCGCTGCTATACGAGCCACGAAACACCGTCGTTCCATTAGAGTTAATCTTCGGTCCTCGATAATTAAACGGTTTCGTTGTACCTTTGTTTATCTCCGCGAGGAGCCGTTCCAGCCTCTTCCTTGAGAGAGGAGCGCGTTGCCCCCTCGGTAGCTCGTGTATCACGAGCGAGTCGGTTCGATCGGGACACAACTCGATCGTTTGTTGCACGATTAACGACTAGAACGACCGCCGATGTCGACGAGAGATTTCAGATAACGGTCACCGTCGCAATTAACACACGATCGACTCGTTTATTTTACGCTGGGTCGCCGCGGCTCCCGTAATTGTGGGAAACGCGACGGGCGTTATCTCCTCGGTTGCTTTTAAGCGGATTTATGATTTCACCTTCGCGGCCATACGTTATTAAACGGTCGGCGATAGAGGGAGAAGTTCAAACGGTGGGACAGTTGTTGAGAAAATTAATTATTTATGGGGATAGGTGGGATTGAAGAGGAAAGGTTTGGATTCATTGGGAGGGAACATGCAAATTTTGTTATGGGACGTCGATCTGGTCTTTAGTACGAGAAGATCCTCGCGAGGCTCGTGAAATATGTTGCTAATGCACAATTTTCGGGTGGCCGGTCATCTTCGTGTGATACATAACTTCCACTTGATTTACAATTAGTTAAAATGGCAGAGGGAAGAGTTGAGTTGATTTCATTTCTTGTTATGGAAGCTTAATCTGCGTATGTAGTAAATTTCAACGAAATTGTAAACAAAGCTTTCCCGTTTTTATTATAAAAGTACAGGTTTCCCCTATTCTTCAAAACATCCCCTCTATTTATAATAATTCCCACTAATATGCCAATTATACAATTTTAATAACTAGCCAATCTCAATGAAATTGTAAACACAGCCTTCTGATTAAACAAATTACCAAAATATCAACATTACAAGAGTACAAGTCCCCCTATTCTTCAAAACATCCCTTCTATTTACAACAATACCCATATACATACAAATTATACAATTTCAATAAGTATCCGCACGAAAAGTGGCGAATTGTTAAAATTAACGTAATTTTGAATCGAATACACAATGGCTAAGCTATCCGAGTATTAGATACGAGTCTCTTGGGTACCTTAGGCGTCTCTTGATTTATAGTTTGTCTAATGAAGCTTTATATGTGTTGAACACAGCCGTAGTCGAAAGACTGACGAATGTTTCCTAAGATTATAACGTTTTCCAAGACAGATCGTTGTTATTTCTCGAAACTGGTTTCTTTACGCAACACGCGTGGGCTTCTAAAGACCGGTGGCACTCGGGCAACGTGTCTCCTTACGAATTATACCGCGATCCGACCTGTCGAAGATCAGAAAGTACCTTGTTAATTTGACCTTTCTGCTTCCACTCTCGGGTTGGGCAAGCCTACCTGAAGAACTTCCTGTAATTTTCTACGCCCGATATTAGTTTCTCGTCTCGAAGATACTTCTGTTTCGTGGAAGTTCACGCAATGTAGAAAAAAAAAAAACAAAATAGAACTGCTAAATAATTTCTAGAAATTTTCCTCCTTTCACGAATTAAAAATCAATATTTGAAAACTCTGAATACTTGTAGATTCAGTAATAATTGAGGGTTTAATGAATAATTGAGTCGCGTACAACTAGGATTTTATGAATAAAATACTTTCAAGTGCTTTTATTTATTTTGTGTTTCATAAAAATTGGAAGATTCATAGGTATTTAATTTAGATTCACACACTACCAACTCCCTTCGACAGAATGTTATTTAAGGATCATTGAAATGATAATGTAAAATTGAAATGATAATATAAAATGTAAAAACATATACTAATTCAATAGTCTCTATTTGTCTCTCTTTCATCTTAATTAATTGAAATATTTACCAAGTACCATTTAATAGAAAATCCAATGTCTTTCCAATTCCATTCAGTGAAACTAATGCACTTCTCGAATTAAAAATAATTTATTTACCCCTCCACCGTCATTTTGTTTCTAAAATTCAATTCATGTATTCAACGCAGTATCGGAGCAGGAAATCGATAAGGTTAAACGTGACGCGGCTTTTATTAACGGCGACGATTCGATTACATTTAACCGATTCTCCCGGAAATTCTATCGCGGCTACGCCACTGTTTCAGTGACAGCCGCGCCTACACCCTTGCAAGTAATTAACGCGGTTAGCAATTAATAATTGAGGGCGCCGTGCCGATTACATTTTGCAGTCCCGACACTGCCTAGCCCCCGCTCGCTGTGGCCAGCATAACCGTATTCTCTCGCAACCTGGGACACATTATTCTTATCGTTATCCCTCTATAGCTGGCTATAACTTTTGACCAACGCCTCGTGCATTCGCAAGTTTATACGGCAAATTTGCACTATGCACAAAATTTCATCTATTTTTAATACGATTTTTTGAGTAATGCAGGGCCAAGAATTCTTCTTGTTTGTTTTAACCATAGCTTTGATTTTAACCAAATGATAATAATTATAAAAAGACATTGTAAAGTAATTATTCATATTGAAAATGTACAATGTGATCAATCCAATATGCACAAAATGTTACATGTTCTTACTTCGATTTTTCGAGTAATGCGGGGGATCAGAATTTGATCTTAACCAAAGGATAATAATTACAAAAAGATATTGTAAAGTAATTATTCATATTGAAAATTTACAATACGTTCGATTCAATATGCACAAAATTTCATCTGTTTTGAGTAATGCATGGGACGAGAATTTTGTCTCTTATTTGTCTTAACAGTAACTTTGATCTTAATTAAACGACAAAAATGATCTAAAGATATTGTAAATGAATGGGTTAGACATTTAAGGGTATTTGAATTCTGAAGTAAAGATCATTAATTTCAGTATTAATCTCAAATTAATTAACGAAATTGGTCCACTTAGTCAGTGACGAGAACTTGGTTCAATAGTAAAATTAGAAGTCGCTTAACTAAAAAGTAAGACGTGACATAAAAAGAAACAACACGTAGTACCATATGCAAAATACGAAATGAAGTCCTAACCAAACAATTTGCCCAATCACAGAGAAAATTATCTCCAGAGACTAGAAATCACGTAACTTGGAGGAACCAGAACTCTCCACCACTTTCATTCCCGTATTTCAACCTACCCCGCTCAACTACACAGCTGCGACATTCTCCCCCAAAAATCTACAATTTCGTCAACTTTTTAAATTAACGTCTTCCTCGACCAAGACTCCCCGCCCTTCCATTTCAACGTCAATAACAGTAAATTTCTCCCGATGCTCATTAGGGAGAGATCATCCCGTAATTGCGCCTCTAAAAACAGCCCCTGTAATAAGGGGCTGGTCTTTCTTCGTCGCGATTTACGTCCCAGAAAGGAAACAAGTCTTTTATAGTCGGCGTACGCGTTCGTGTTCGACCGATTACCGGCGTGATCCGACACGGCGACCGATGAATCTTTAACGAGGCGAATCGGTGGGGTCGAGTGGATCGAAACGATCCTGAATCGCGGATTCGAGGGTTTGACACTTTAAAAGCCGAGGCAAGAAGCCGATGGAACAGTCGACGACCGTACTGGCTGCCGAGCCGAAGGGTTGCCACGGCGAGGAGCCGAGCGGGGGATGCCAGAGGTGGAGAGTTGGCAGTCAAAGCAGGGGTGGATGAGGGAGCACGATGGGGCGGATAGACTGCATTATGTACAGGACAGGGCTAAGCTGTTAGGTATCTGAATTATTGAAGCCGAGTTATCTCATCTCTGCCTACAGTCATCTCGTTACTTTAAACGCAGCTGCTCGCTGGACCGCGCCGCGGATGTGCCGATCCAGGGGTGGAGAAAACGCGATTGTTTTCTCTTCTTTCTTCGAATCCCTCCACGGACCTCCCTCCACGGATATTCTTACGACCTCGAAAAGCGACGAAGTTGAAGATTGAAGTTTTTGGTTTGATTCTAGGACGAGTATCGACAGGGGTGGTTTCCGATGTCGAGTTCGTTTAGGAGAGCCTTTTTAATTTTCATCTCTACGATATTAGATTTGATTTATAAGTAGACTATATGTTTACGATAAGGTGTGTTATTTTTGTTTAAAGTAATTATATAGGTAAAGTCCATGAAACGATTTTTTAACTAACGACGATTTCTGTTACTAAAGACTCTTACAGGACCTCGCTAGTATTTAATTCTCGAGTCGAATGAAGGAGAGCATAGCATCCCGGGAAATCCCTGAAAATCCTGGAAAATGACCAAAAAAAAAGGAAATTAGTTGCCGAATCTTCTAGGACATAAAATGTTCAGAGCTTTTTCTACGCGATCTACAAGATACGTCACGCCAGCGTAACCGTGGGCGAACGTAATGCAAATGTATGAAAAAGTATTATATATAATAATCGAATACATATCATAGGAAATAATATTCTATTCGGAACACGAATGAATTTTACAAGCGTTTCGCTCGTTCGAGTTTCGTGATTTATGCAAGTCGCGTACCATACGGTCGTATACTCGAGATTAATTATGATCCACTTGTCATTTAGATGTAAATTTAATTCGTCAGGGCATCCAGATGAATGTATCTGTCACTGAGTTACCGTTCCCGAACACACTCGGAGACAGATAACACACGTCGTCGCCGGCTAAATCGAATTTCATGCTCGCTACTCGAGCGACGACACCGACTACGTAATAAAAAGACGTGGAACTTCAACTTGCTTTTGCGGGAACGAAACTCAGGGATGGGCACGTTTCAATCGTTTCACGACTGATACACACCGTGAATGGCGATTACGTGTATCGACTGGATGTAATTATCGCCGGTGCGACACTGGCTAGGAAAAAAACCTAACTAAGTAAACCTTGTAAGTCGACACTGTATATAAATCCTTTTCATTGATAGATAATATCAGTTTAAAAAAAATAGAAGACCTGCTTTTGCTACATATCAAATTTCCCTAATTTGTAAAAATTACTAAACAGTAAAGAACCTAACTTCTGTAAGTGTTCATAAATAAAAGAATGAATAAAACGTACATCTAACTCTTAGAAGACCGATTTTCCAAATTAAATTTTAAAAAGCATCAATGTATTCATTATTTGAACTTTTGTACGAAAGAACATTGTGTAATGGTAACATACGTACAGGCAAATGTTAAAAATAAACCAATTGCGAGTGTACAATTTGATTTAAAAGTTCGGTATCGAATTTGAGACTTAGGGCATTTAAGGGTTAAGAATGCAAAATTAAATAATTGAAGTGAAAGGGTAATAAACAGAGTTATTATACGATGCATCGCGTTGCATTGAGACTAACGACAAGCTCGTGAAATTATAAAAATGGAGCAATGCGGCCGAAGTAATGCTCGACAAACAATTACAAAAAAACTTTAAAAGGTGAGTTTCCTAGGAAATCACTCGGCGAACAATCATAACAGTACTGGAAATGATTAAAAACACCGCGATTTAAGACCACTAACTGTGGAATCTCGTTTGGAGCACTTTAAAAAGACGAGGAAGACACGTCACGTCCGAACACTTCCCAACGATATTCGTTCTAGAAAGGAACCCGTTTCTTGGCTTCCCCAGAAGAAACGTAATTTTCACTTCTGCACATTTTACGACAAATGGTATACACTGGGTATACAATCCGGTAAGAAATCGAGATCCAAATACAACGGCATCGAAAGCCTTTTTCTCGCTCTTATTGGATCGTTATGAAACTTCTAAACGCATTCTACCCGTTTTTATCCGTCGCGTTTTACATTCTTCGTTTTTTTTTGTCCATTTGCCTGTTTAGTGTCGGAGCTCCAGGAACAATGCGAGAAATAACGGCAGCGCGTTTCCACAAACTCTTGGACGGTTATGCGCGATGGTTACGAATAAATCTTGCGGAAAATCTAGATCGGTACTTGTCAGCGAATTGAAACTGTAAATTGAGACACCTCTCGGACGAATAACAAGTTGACCTATTAAATCTAACGAACGTCCATAGTAAATTATTAAATTTAAGTTTTATTCGTTAGTTGCTGTGCTAACAAATTTCCTAACTGAATTGTTTTTATGATGAAGGAACAGGAAATCAATTACAAAGGAAATTGAAAGGAATCGCAATCCCTTTTCACCCCTTCAGGGATTGCATTTTTTAAAATGCTAGAACAGGTGTTTGATTAATTATATCAAAGAGTATTAAGACCAAGTCAAGTAAATCCGACCACAAATAAAATATTCCTCATACAAACGTTGCTACTCCTTCTTACCCCCTTAGGGGCTGAATTTCGAAATATCCTTTCTTATTCCTTGTATACATCACAAAGGATTTTTTATATATATAGATTTATAACCCAAATAAAACTTTGTTCGTCTCTGACCTTAAGTCCAAATAGTCTCATCATGGAGCAGAACAGTTTCGATCATAAGTTCACCGAGGTGCTTCAACCCCTTCCAACTTCTAACCCATCATCGTTCTACAAACCGCCACCAATTCGTAAAGTCCTCGTTTCGTCTTAGAGCAGACAGATAAAGGTAAAACTCGGAAAGCTATGCGTCCATAATCGCCGAGCATCTTGTCCGAACAATCCTCCAGCCCTGAAAGTAGCCATCTCTTTATCCTAATACTTCCCGGAACGATCCAAGGACACGACAGCAGGTCGACGCTTTTAAAAGTCGTTCAAAGCAACTATTAAAGCAGGAAAAAGACGACTCCGAACGGTGGAACACGTTGTACCCTCGAAGAATGTCTCCAAGCTTCGTCTCGCCGCGGAGACGCCCCTGGTATCGGGTACCCGCGCCACGGACGGGCCCCCCCTTTTATCTAAATGACGTGTTTTCGTCCTTCCTTATCTTGAAGAGTCTCCACTACATTCGACGCTCGATGCGTCCACGGATACACGCGGCAGGACCCTGTCGACCCGCTATTAACATTCCACGGCGCGGTTTCCATCTCGCGTTTTCCCTTTCAATTTCTCCAACGATCGAACATCAGATTCGACAAAAACAATGCGAACGGTAAACAGTGTAGTCGTTGCCCATCTGAACGCGATCGTTGACAGCCCCCGGAGACTGCAGACTTTCTGTCGGCCGATAGTTTTGTCGGGTTGGCTCATAGTCGGCCGATTGTTGTCAAACAATCTGTTAGTGTTGGCGGCTCTTGAAGAGAGCGATCGCATAATGCGGAGTCGGCAAGAAAACAATCGGCATGTGTGCGCGTGGCTACAAGCCGCCATACTGATTAACCGATAGTTCGTCGGTAGTTTAGTTTGAATGCAATCGTGCAGACTCTATTTATACATGAAAATTAGTTTTCGTTACCCCACTTTAGAAAGAATAAAAATATTTTACTACCTAGATGATGCACATTTCTGCAAGTCCTGTGCATCCAACCTGTTATTAAAATTAATTCTCGTGACCCCAGCACGGGGAAAAATAAAATATTTAGTTAGGTCGAGTAATGCCGAGCGTTTCTGCGATCCCGAAAAATTGCGAGGGGTACGAGGAGCGTCATGATACATTAGATAATGCCAGAGACTCACCTCCATTTTGTCCGTCTGTTTTGAAACCAGGTCTTCACTTGGGCATCCGTCATCTTCAACGACTTCGCCAGGGCTGCTCGCTCCGCCGACGCTAAATATTTCTGTTTGTGGAAACGTTTCTCAAGCTCGGCGATCTGCAGCCTGGTGAAGCTCGTCCTCGGTTTCTTTCTCTTAGGCGGTGTCCTGTTTTGGTAAGGATGACCGATCCTCCTCGGAAACGCCCCAGCTACTGTTGGAGGAAAATCAACGTTCATTAACCTCCTCGATCTCGATATGAAATGAAAAGAAATTACAATGTGGATTTTAATAACCGGACAATTTATTGAAAATCTAGACTGATATTCGCTGACTTAGTAAGGGCTTAATTTGCATAATATTCCATCTAAATACAGCATAATACTGCAAAATACAGAGTATTCAAAAATCATAGACCATAATACAACGTATAATAGCATGATGCAGCTAGATACAACATTATTCTTCAAATTGTTACACAGCATAATCCGCATAATAATCCGAACATTAGCGATCGTTACTGCTGCAAGGTACAAAGTTACGTTCTGAATTCAAGAAATTACAACGTGAATTTTAATAACCGTACAATTTATTGAAAATCTAGACTGATATTTGCTGACTTAGTTAGAACTTAGTTTGCGAACAAGTACTCAAAGAGTCGATGGAATACTATCGATCGTTACTGCTGCGAGGTACAAAGTTCTGTTCTGTTCCTGAGAATGCAATATAGTGTAATAGTGTAATAGTGTAAAGAGGCTAATATAAATGAGGCTCGAATAAAACCGAGTTTTTATTAGTCCCACGTCAACAATTTTCAGTGATTCTTGCCTCTTTCCCAGCTGTATTTCTTTGCGGTCTTGCCGTTATAATTTTCCTAGAACCTCATTGTCGGGTAACTGAACACGGGTGCAGCAGAAGGGACGAATAAATTCTGTATTATAAAACCACTGTCCATTTAAAACTATGAAAAATTCAACAGTCAGTAAATTAAACCCTTTCGATAATTAAAAATGATAAAATTCTACCTTAAGGGTTGTGCATAATTTAGTATATTGAAGTCAGGTCCAAATGCACACTTCAGCCATTAGGCAACGTTCTTCTCTCTCGTATGATACATTAAAATAAAAAATTCGAGAATTGTATGCAAGATTCGGTGAATGCAAAGCGAAGAATGACTATGTCACCAGAAATGGATGACAGTTAGTTTCATTAAGAAAGTAAAACAATTAATTTCAAAGGTACGACGAAAATGTTAAATTATTTAATCTTCGATAGACCCGCAACCAAATTTTAGCTTCCGAGAAATTCACACGAGTGTCAGTCTAGTAGCCAAGGTGTCAAACATATTCCTCTCCACTGTTTCGATGAAACTGTTCCACATGAAATTATCGTCTCATGCCAATTTCGTCCGTTCGTATCGTCGAAAGTGGATCGCGATTTCCTCGCGTGAACGCGCTGGACGTCGAAAACCGTGGAGAGGCAAACGGTTTAAACGACGCTGGAAGAAACGTGGCACGGAGCAAAACAAGCGGTGAAATTCCAGAATAAAGTGGCGACGTCGAATTATATGCACGGTACCGCGGGAATTACTTACGATACCGCGTGGCACAAGTAAAACCTCGCTTTGGGAAACGATTATAAAACCGTAAAGCCGAGCTTACGAGTTACACGGAACGATTTGCCGTCCCGTGCAAATTGTAACGTCGTCTTTGTAGTCGTCACGGAGCAGGTGCGTCGCGATTTCAGTGGAAGAGTATTAATAAAGTTACCGTTAACCATCGATAGTATCGCGCCAGTTCCATTACCCCGCGGACAGTGGGAAGCTCGCCCGGATCAAAATGAAGCTTTATCGTCCTCTTATGCGAAACTAGACGCGTAAATCGCGGTTAAAACCCGCTCGAGATTCTCTTATCGGGCCGCTCGTTCCTCCTGGGTAATTATTGTATACGTGTATACTGTTAGATCCCAGGAACGATCCATGGTACCATTCGGACACTGCGACGTCGTTTATCCCGAGTGAATGTTATAGTTCGTGTTCCGCGGGAAACCAGTTCCCGAGGGACGCATGGCGATCAATTTAAACAATTTAAGGCGCATCCGAGGAATGCTTGCGAGTGCGAGAAGCAAAGATCGAGATTTCTTTATTGGCCGGAAAAATTGCGTCGATTTATTTTACTTGTTTGCACTTTTAAATTTGTATCATTTTCGATACTCGCTATTAATTTTCGTTTCTTTATATGACTTTCTTATTATTTTAAAATAAGATTGTAGTAGGGGAGAAAGGGAAAATTTGTTTACCAAAGAAGTGACACTTCAGGCTCTGATGGATTAAATACCGAAGATCAATCTGAACACTTTTCTTCAATTTTTATTTTTTCAGGACAACACTCCTTCTTCCCTTTAATAAGGGCTATTATGGGAGCACCTTGGAACATGTAATTTCCAAATGGTCCTGTATAGCAATGCACGATCGTTCACTCGTCCTCTCGTCTAAAAATATTGCTCGCGTTTCCTCTTCTTTGCCCGCTCTTGTGGCAGGCGGAGAGTGAAAAGCGTGTTTAATAAGAGTGGCACGCGATGGAGGAATCGATGTTGTTTTTTGAAGTCGAGGTACAGCGTTTCCGTCTCGCGTATAAACTTGTCTGCGCTCCATAGACCAGTCCCCCATTGGTAGCCGTCTCGATTAGCTTTTGTATTTTTCTCCTTTTCTTCTTGCTGGCGTCATTAAAACGAGTCGTTGGATGGCTAGGGACATAGTTGCATTCGAAAGGGGTCAGATTTTTATTGTTTTTTTTTTAAAGTGTGCAATTTCTTGAATTTTATTAATTTCTTTTAGTCACATAGCTTATTCTATGGATTATTACATTGATCATTCTGTAGTTTATTACAGCGTTTATTATATGAAATATTTAATGGACTATTATATGCATTGCTATATAAATTATTTTATGTATCGTCACATGGATTATTATATTAATTTTCTTATTTTTCAGTATCACTTTTACTAGATTTTTGACATTAAAATTCTTTGTGACATTTGGTCCAAATCGGAATTGAACCACTGGCGGAAAGATGGATAAAAACTATCAGAAGCGATGGCATTTATTTTGAAGAATAATTATTGTTTGATTATAATGTTATTATAAAATGATTTATTGGTAGCAAGTGTCCGGGAAATTATGAGACAACCTAGTACACTTTTCCGTCAATCCATTTGAACGAGACACGATTGGCGAACTTGCTACAACAAGATGTCGCGGTTTTCATCCGGAAATGACGCTTCCAATGACTCGAACGGTAATTTGCGGTACTTACCAATTCTATGGAATTATCCTTCATGGAACTAGGAAAAGTGATTCCTGAGAAAACTTTATGGCAGCAAATTCTGCAGCGTGTAACAATAAACCGCGTCGTAACAAATGAATTGTAACAGTAAATTTAAAAAATGCTTTTCATTCCTATCTGCGATATTGCCGTATCATCTACTCCTTCTCCAAATAGTAACGATGGGGTTGGACGAATTAAATCTCCTCACAATTAGTATGATATGCGCACGTCAATAACCCATTTCTTATTTCTCTTTTTTCCCTCATAATTCGCTCTCGTTGGAGAAACTTTAGCGCGCGCACTAAATGTTGTATCATTCCGTATACTTTATTCCCTTTGAAGCGTGACTATCGACGTCATTAAGTATTTATCTGTCGTAGTAATAGCGCATGAATAACAGAAAGTGCATTTAATGCGATATGCATAACCGTGGATTTAATGCCTCGAAACATGATAATACACGGTATACAGTAATGAGAATGAAGAATGCGATAAATACATTACGAGGTTGGCGATGGGAATTACTGGTTGTCGTTTTGCCTCGACGTTTTTGCAACTTCTAGACATAGATACTTTGTTTCGCGTCGTTCGTAAACGATAATCTACCACGTTCCACTCTGAAAATTTGGAAGCAGTCGTAATAAAGATTTTTGTCGTGCATTGAATTCCGATTGTTAAACTTTTCAATCGTCCGTGTGATGAAAACGAGCAATTTTTTTCCGAGACCTTCTCGTTATATCCGGTGTCCATTCAATGAAAGGATCGCGTGCTTCTAAACAACATTTAACAGATAAGTCAACAGATAAGTCGACGTATCTCCGCGGAATCGGCGAGCCGCGTTTCTGACGGCATTAAAAACGACATTTCGCGACCACGTGCGCCGTAAAAGGTGTAACAAGAAATGTACCGTGTTCGGCCGATTATTAGGAGCACTTGATGAAGTCGTAGATAGGGACGAGATATGGAAATGGAGAAAACCTCCCTTAGGGATCGCGTAAAATTCCATGGAAAGATAAAGGGGACTTCACACGTATCTTATTCCACGAATAATAATTTTTGGAGTAGCAAAACGTCCTAATAGACTGTCAAATGGTATCTAAACATTGATGCACTTTCTGTGCGAATTTAAATGATTCAGTGGTATATATGTAGAAAATTCATCAGGGCCTAGTTTTAAAAACTTATTGTTGGGTTATTACTACTACCAGTTGTTTAATTTTCCTCACATTTAACACTATAAGCCAAAACCAACTCACTCTATGAAGACTGCGCGTTTTTTTAAATATACAAGGTCTTCCAAAAGAAGCTTCAGGATTTTGAATGCTCACAACCATAGCTTTTATTTCCTGTCAGGTGAAATTTCAGATTATTAATTGGACACGTACATTTACTTAAATATTGATATTTCAAACATTTCTGTGATACTTTCCTAAGAGTATTCTCACATTGTAAATTTACATCTCGTTTGTCGATTTACGAAGAAACTTTCAAATTTCGGATTAACTCCATTATTAATGCGTACATCGTCGAGCAGCGCAATAATTCACGATTCAGCGAATACCGAACGTGTGAATCCGCCTTAATATCCTTCCGATCGTGTCGCAGATGTTCCACCGTTTAAAATATGGAAAAGATTAGACATTGTCATGGAATGTCACGAACGACACACTCGACGACAGCTTAGTCACAGATGCGTTTGAAAAGATAGGAAACGATTAAGGGGGACGACGGCCACGATTAGCTTCTCCACTGGTAGAATGAATTAATAATTGCACGGTATTTATTTCCAATTTGTGCTATAAATCGCGTGCCATTATCGAACGTAAGATCTAACTATTTTTAACCCTTGCAGCGATGATAGATACGCGTGTTAAACGTCACCCATTG